AGCGAGACTCTGCCTCAAAAAAAAAAAAAAAAAATCTTCCTCAATAGAGACATTAGCACATAAATTATGCTGCTGTTCTTGGTTGCACAGCATAAATTAGAAACTTATGAAAATGTATTTTTTTTGCAAACACATTTTCCTATGTTAAATATGGTGATCAAAGCAGAAATTCTTATTTAAATAAGCAATTAAGATTCATAACAGAGTGCTTACAAAAGAGACAAAAAATTTAATTATTCTATCACCACTGGGGACATTAGCATGAATTCAGATTTTAGTCAGAATCAGAATCAGTTTGTTATTATTAATATTTTATGGAGGGTTCAAATGGTGGGAGGTATGGTGTTTGCTCTCAAGGTGCCAGAGGCAAGATGAAGAGAGAACACAGACACATAAAAACGTGACAATCCAGGTTGGTGCATGCTTAGTGACTACTGATGATCCAATATACATAATCATTAATATCCTGTATACTGTTAGGCAGTATTGCCCAGTAGATACATACATGAGCTTTGGAGTCAGAGGGACTTTGGACTTGAGGCCTGACTCCATTTTTTTCATCTTAAAATAATAACCCTGCTTTCCTTCTCTAGGCTGAAACTTTATGAGCACAGAGGCCAAATTTATCTTGTTCACTGTGCCTGATGCATAGTAAGTAGTCAATAAATATTTATTCAATGAATGGATGAGTTAATATATGTAATGTGCCCAGAGTACAGCATATGTAATAAATTTTGATATCAATAACTGGTAACTAGTGTTATTGCAATTGTCATAGTTATTGTCTAAGAGCCCAAACACCTGGAGTGACTTCACTGTCAGGGAGGCCGTGTCTGAGAACTGGAGGGGAACAAAGGATGGCTTGCTGGAAGCTCACACTGGATTTACAAAGCTTAGGCAAGAGAGATGAGGATGATGAAACTGTTCTAAGCCTCCGGAGGACAGAGGGCCTTCTCCACATGGTTTGCTGCACCCAAGAGTTTCTAGAGCTCCTGTTTCCAGGATTGTATGCCCCAGAAGGGGTGCTGGCCTGGGAGCAGAGCTGCCAACTGCTTTGTGGAATGTGAGAGTATCAGAGAAAAGGCTCCATCTGGAGAGGAGGAAACAACTATGCGGATGTAAAGTGGGAGACTTGACCACGTGGACAGATACAGCTGCATAACTAGACCTGAACATCCTAGTTAGAAAAATCAACCGTGACTGGAATAGTAACAGGAACAGTGTTCAAGTCACCAGGGGACCATCCTCTCCCCACACCGGGCACTAGTCAGACCTTCTCTTGACCACTTTGGTCTGATGCCTTAAATGAGTTCAGCACAGGGAGATGAGTTACAGGAGGTTCGTTAGAACGACCTGGAAAAGAGAGCCTCCTTAGTTCAAGGAAGTGGGATTAGTGAGGAAAGGAAGGCGGCAGGAAAGGAAGGAGACTAAGAAGCTGGGCCAGCGGCTTCATTCTCAGGGGAAACGTTCTTACTTGTCAGCCAATTTGTAGCTCAGGTTTTCGGTCTGGCTGTGGCTGCCCTGGGCCGGCCTGCACACTGTCATCATGTCAGCACTGAGAGGAGCTCCAGGTCACCTGAGGGAACAGGGATGCACGCTCAGTGAGCCAGGACATCAAAGCCTCTCTCAGAGAGGAGCAGATCTAGGGCCCATGCCCCAAACTATTCCTGACAGATTCCACCCAGGAGCAGGGGCTGGCAGGAATGCACCATTCAGAATCGCTGACCTGGAGGCAGGGAACAAAGGCAGAGTCCTGAGGTCCACCCTGACTCAGGCCCCATGCCAACCTCTTTGTATAAATCCTTTAGCTGAGGTCACTAAAAGTCTTAAGAAAACATACAACCTTAGAAAGCAAAACATAAATAACAATACACCTCGACACTTTTTCAGGTTCTCTAAGAACCTCTGTGATGAGCTAATAGTCCCCAAAGAAGAAAACTGTTGTCCCTTTATTTGAAACGAGACCTAAACCACTCATGAAAGCAGAACTATCCCCACAGGGGAAGTCCACTCTTCTCCTGGCCCTGACGGTGGCTGTGAGCCCACACCGGCCTTGCCTGCAGAGCCCCACAGGGGGAGCCCCCCTCAACAGCTCTGTGCTGTGGGCATCTGTCACTAGGTCACCTGTCTGGTCTAAGGAAAACTAGGAGATGGTCACAGCAAACCAAGGAATCCCACTGAAAAATAACAAGGACTGCGGGGATACCAAAGAAGGAGCCTCAGCTCAGAAGTAGCAGTTTTATAATACCCCGGGGTCTGACATCCAAATGAACTGAAGTGACTGAACACCGAACAACAGGTCCCTCCTGAGAGGAGCCATCTCCTCAACTGGAGTTCAAGAAGTATTGAGATACTGGGGACTCATGTTTCTTTTCCATGGAACTTCCAGGGAATCCCTCTCCCAACTCCTTCTCAGGTTTCCAAGATTCCTACCCCCTTTCCCAGGATGGTTTACCTGCCAGGTGATGGGATGGCTGCCCAGTGTCCTAGCCTGGGCATCCTCACCCTCCTAAGAAATCTAAGGGCCAGGACTCAAGACATGCATGTAACTCCTGGGAACAAGGAGAAGAAGGCCAGAGAGGGAGAGGAAAAGAAAGGGAGAGTGAACATGGGCAACAAATTAACAAGAGGGAGGTGGGAACCAGGAGCTGGAAAAAGCAAGGAAGGGGACAGACGGTCTGCCAGCTGTGTGGGGTGGGGGGATGGAGTTGTGGCCTGCCCATGGAGCTCAGCTGTCCCCCTACCCAGCAACTCAGCACCAGACACTTTGGGGAAGATCTGTGTTGTAACCAAGCCCAGTTCTTTAAAGAAGCCAGGCCCCAGGGCTCATCTATCCCATTATGAACCAGAGCCCTGAAAGGCTTTTCAGGGACAGGAAGGAACTCATTGTCCCTCTCATAAAGCTCCCGCAAAGCTGAAAGCTTCTGGAGCCTCTCCATTTGGCTGGGCCCACAGACACTGCTCTTCTGTCCAGCATCTGGCAGAGGGCCTCATCGGAGGTCAAGAAGAGCAGCCACTCCCCACCCCCACCCCTGCCCTCCACATAGCCCAAACCCACAATGACCCAGCCTTGTTCCATGTGAGCAATGACTCTCTCCACCCACTCTCTCCTTTTGAGCTGGCGGCCTCTTTCGCTGCTGGCACTAGGACTTGGTGCCAGACCGTGTACCGCGTGCTCTGGGGGACTCAAAGATGAGTAAGACACGGTCTCAGCCCTCATGATAGCACCAGGACTGTGCAAGGCTCACACTCAGCCCCATAACCCAGCCCTCCCCCTACCCCC